TCTCTCTCTCTCTCTCTCTCTCTCTTTCTTTTTATCTTTCTTTCTTTCTTCCTTTCTTTTTATCCCTTCACGTATCTGCCTCTGTCGTTCAGTTGTTCGTTTTCCTTCACCTTTACTCGTTGTTTTGATTAGTTGAACGTACAACGTGTACACTTTAGACGACACCAAGCACTTCAAATCTCTCTTTTACTTGGAAAACATAATTCTGATTGATACGATATGCCTTTTTTAATTGATGCCGAACTCGTAGCCTAGAAAGTTCGTGTGGTTTTTGTTTTTAGAACGCTGATATGTTTTTTGGTGTCGTTTTAGTTGCTGCATCTTGTGTTTTAAAATGTGTTTGTTATATGGATTTAATAATGTTATGAATTTTTTTTTATTTTTATTTGTTCGTTATTTGCGAACGAGAAAATAATTGGGGTGAAATATGACAGAAGTAATTTTCCATCACTTGGGCGTTAAGAATGAATCCCCTCCCTTGCAACATTGGACCAGATTCACGTTGATAACTTACAATTGAATTCAATACATATAAATATTATTCTATTCACTTCAATTGGAGAGAAATATTATTTCACCATCATGAATATTTAATATTCAGAATAAATTTTCAATGAATATATAACTTTTTTTCCTTCGAAAAATTATTAATAAAAAATTTGGTAGATTGGGTACACAAGCTATTAACCATTAATCCATTCAAGACTAGAGTATTTTAAAGACAGTCGTCAGGAAGCAAGATTCAAAATCATCACTTTCTCCATTACTGTTCATTTTTTAAATCCCGATTATCCTGAGTACGAGTTAGTCTTTCCGAGGGCTTAGCTTGAAACCAGCACAAGTTTAATTTTTGTTACTTAATAAAGAAATTAGTTTCTCACTACTAAAGAATAGCAAGAATCCATGATCATTACACACGCGGTGTGCGATTAACCTCTTTGGCTAAGTTACTCAATTCCGCATCTGCTCTATAATTCATCTCGAATGAGTTAACCCTGCCGAATAACAATTTAATATTAAACTGACCAAAAAGTCTTAGCTTGAAATCATCACAACCTTTGATCTTCACACACCTTCAATTTTCACTAATTACTGAAGTAAGCTGCCAACTAATAACAGAAATTCATGATCATAGACAACCGATGCACGATTTGTCTTTTTGCCCAAGTTACTTCACCTGGTGCGTAATTCGTCTCGAACTGGTTAAATGGGACACGGGTGCGGCGAAAATCGTCGCAGACGTTCCCGTCCGTTGGCAGTGGTGTAAAAGAGCGCGCTGCTGGTCCGTTTTCGCTAATTGCAGTCGGGGGCGGAAACACGACGGCACCGGTTCCGCTAATCGACGCGGAAAGGCGACCGCGGGGAGGGGGTTGAATCGCGTGGTATCTATACTCACAAGTGGTCCTGCCGCTTGAACGCCTTGCCGCACATCGTGCACACGTATTTCCTCTCGTCGCTGTGCGTCAGCTTGTGCTTCGTGAGCGCCGATGCGTTGTTGAACACCTTCCCGCAGACCTGCGACAGAAACCGTGCACCGTGTCAGCGCGTCTTTGGCTGCGATGTTGCCTCGTGACAGTTGGCTTATTTGCGTCCCCGGCTACAGGACACAAAGGGGGGAAAGGCTGAAGACGTTTGCGTGTAGTTAATTAACACCCGAATTATCAAATGAAATTCGTTTCGTTGTTTTGATACGCTCTTATTGGGCGAACCCGACGAACGACGCAACTTTAACGAGCGTTTTATAGAGGATCCAGTAATTGTGTTTGTATCTATTTAACTTTCACCCTTTGTTGTTGCAATTTCGTTTCTTCCGCGGTGTTACGTGCGCGGTGAAAGATTGAAGATAAGTATAATTAAATGTGGGCAGTTGAAAATTCAAGCTTGAGAATGGTGAATTATTTCTTGTTTTCGATAAAATACAGAACGTTCTATTCTTAACACGTTGAATGCCGCACGATTTAATAGAGCAAAGTACACAAAATGGAAAAGTTATAATATTAAATCATGTGATTAAATTGCATTATTATTCTTGCAAATTCATCTAGCTGAATATCACCAAACTGCATGGTATTATTTATAATATAGAAAGGTTTTCAAATAACCGCCGTTTAATTAAGTGAACTATAGTAACTCAGTTTAGTTGGATGATGTCTATGAAATTCAACGTGTTAATACTAGAACTATCGAACTCGTTAAAATGACGCGTTTCAATTTTCTTATTATACGATTATTGATATTTTCAACGTGTTAAATATTCGAAATGGTTTAAGAAATAAATAGTTTTACTTGAATACTATAATGAATACACAAGGAAACCGTGAAAAAATAGCCACAATTTTCATAAGTATTACTTATTATTTATTAATCACATTAGTGATTATTTCACAGTAGTACTTTTAATTTCTAAAACTTCGATAGATAATCGCTTCAAGAGAAAATATTAAAAACTGTAAAAGGGTCAGTCGTGTTTCATACTGTTTTACATTTAAAATAATCCATCTGCATTTTTTAAAAGGTATACAAAATTGGCATCGAGAAATACGCAGAGACTTACGAAACCGCCTGATGTAATCGCGTTTTAAAAACAATACAACGGTTTTTCCTTTTTTTTTCAAGAATTCTATGTCAATCAAAAACGATCGAATCATTAACCTGATTCGGAGCTGGTCAAGCCACGCGTGTTCGTCGAGCAAGTAACGAAATTACGACCGGCAATCGCTGACAAACTAAGTGTAACGGGTCCGAATCGAGTCGCACGATTTTAATACACGATAATCGGCGCGCGTTTCGCGCAAATGTTCGCAATTCTCCGCGGGCCGGCACACGTTTCGAACGGTTCATTGCAAACTCGCGAAACGGAACGCACTGGACACAGTTTTCAATTACCGCGCGCTCGGCCATCGTAAAGCCGACCGGACAAAGTTTTACGACGATCATTAGAACGCCGATAAAGATACCATCACCGCGCACTGACGTTCGCGTTACCATCGATCACGACGTTTTGCTCCCGTGTACCTATTATAGCGATGTTCTCTTTTATTTTTTCCTGTTCTTCCTTTTGTTCGATTTTCTATTTTTTTTGTCTCTTTACTGAGATTTATGAGTTAACTTGTCATTCTAGTTCAGTTTCATTTTTTAATAGTTTTTGCGTTCGACGAATAATGTTTGTGTTCTATCAAACTATAATGTTTGTATTAGTGCGAATGCTGTATTGAATATAATTCGTTTTGAATTGCGCTTTCGAGGATAATCGTTTGGAAAATATATGATTAGAAGATTAACCAACCAATTGCGTTTGACGGGTATACACGTCATCTTAAAGTTTGTAATGATACTATAATTCTTTTAATGATGAATTCTAAATTTTTTCAGATAAACATGTAATTCTTCTTTGTTTATAACAATGAAACGCACTGTGTTTTCGAAATTTGGAGATTGTTTAATGCCAAAGCAGAAAAGACGTGATTTTTGCAAGTTCAATGAGTGATTTATTTTTAATTTATTTTTTGGAGAGAAATTTCTAGTGAATTTTTGAACGTTCTTATAATATTTTAAGTTAATATAAATAGTTATAGGCAGATTATAAAATAGTTGTTATTAATTTGTTTTTCGTTTAGAATTACTGCTTTAAGCTACGTAATATTCGCTTCCTTGAAATGTCGTATTTAACTTCTCATTTTCTTAATGAAGAAATAAGAGATAATATATTTTAGTAATAAAATACAACTTGTGTATGGAACATGTGTTAAATTTAAAATGATATACGTAATCACTTTCTGAGTCATCGGTGCATTTATATACACATAGAGGTATATCTATTTATTATTGTCAGGTAAGGTACTTAATTATTCAACTACTGTCATGCACAGTCATCAATTATATTTTATTTATAGAATTTTTTCACATTAATATCTACATATTATTACATCATTAAACATAAATCTTACTACTCGACAATACGAGTATAAAATAAAAAGTGTACAAAAAGTAAAAAGACATTTCACCACACCTATTACTTTTAGCTATTAATCTATATTAACACTTTTATGCATAATAATTAATGTATGTCATTTGGTTCTCCGAGCAATTAATTACAAAACTCTTCCCCATCGTGAAGAAAAGGAATGTTGAACAATATTCAATTTGTTTCAAAACATCCTGCACCAGAAATACACTACAATTTACGAGCGAATAAAGCGTGAAATCCACCCCCATAGAAATACCCGAGGTGACAAGGGAAAGGAATAGTAATGAAAGGACCTGGGGTAGGAAGGAGGGTTAATTTTATCAGAAACGCCGGGGCAGTTTCTCTCCGAATTTGATCCACGGAATTTCGCGCGATATTTGGCGACGGCAAATTCGACACCAATTCGGGCTATTCTTGCATGGTTCTCGGACTTTCGAATGGAACAACGTCCATGTGCGCCGGGCCCTCAGCTTTTAGCTTCCTGAAATAGTTCCTGAAATAGTACGCGCCCCTCAGCGAGTAATAAACCCAATTCCACATACTTAACAGGCATACCATCTCCAACACCCTCGACCATGTCTTCGGCGCGGCTGTTGTTAATACGAAATGCCGTACCACCGTCGCGCGTAATTAGAAATTTCATAGACGACAGGTTGTCTCGTTTTCGCGCGCTAAACACTGCTTCGTTTCCGAACGCTTTCACGTTGTTCGGATCAAAGCTTGTTACAGGTGATTTAGCTTTCACCATGATTTTCTCTCTCGTTTATATTTCGTTGATAACGAGGCTACCGATTGTTTCTGGCTATTGTCTACTGAATATTTCGAAAGAAATATTTTAAAACGAAACGATATTTTCTATACTCTCCCAATAAAATAACTTTCAAATGCTATTTTAAGATCTTATGACGATAAATGATACCTTATTTCTACAGTAATTAGAATTTAGTAATAAATTTGATATTGCGACTTCAACGTGTACTGTTTTTTTTCATAGTATTTATTAGGAAAATTATTTTCCACCGTAATTCCATCTTTCTAATAATATTCTTATGAATATAAATTCGTAAGGTTCACAATCTAGTAATGTAACATAAAGTAGACCATACTAAGAAAATTTACATTTAAAAACAATAAAAACAAAACTGAAATAATTATTCTATGCAAACGTTGATATCGTTTTGCCAGGTCCAGTGTCTCCCATTTACAATTCTAAACAACACGTTACCCAGTGCTGGTTGACATTAGGCTTCACGTACCGAAAGTGGATGGGATATTAGACGTCGTCACGGAGTGGGTGCTCCACGTCGAAAGCCGACGGCAAAAGGAAAAGTTCACGTCCGCGTTGCGCGCGGTTAAATCGAAATTAATTTCCAACGCAGCTGCGGCGAACACGTGGCGGCCGGCGCTTAGTTCCAAGCCGCGGCACGAATCCCGGCTCCACTAAGGGAGTCGAGAAAAGTTCTTTCTACTTTTCGTTTCACTGTTATTTCCATCCGCGTGACGCCCGGTATACGAACCCGCCTCGATCGGGGCCGACTTCGACGACGCGAATAAGTCGTGCCAGCTCGTCCACGGAAATTTCCCTCGCCTCGAACCGGCGCCCGCACCAACTTTCTTCGTCCACCAACCCGCTCCCCAGTCGGAAACTTCCGTTTTCCTAATGGAGGGAGAAGAAAGGATAAACTGCCGACTCAGCGATCGCTGACACCCCAGCCCTGAAATTTACCGGTTTTCCGCGAACGAATGTCTGCGGACTGGGGCTCTCGGGCTATTTCGATTCAGGCTGGAGATATAGCGGGAGAAGGAACCGTGTTACGTGTTCCTTTTCTTATAGTATACCTCTGACCCTAGATTTACGCGGTAAATTAGAACATTATGTACACGTTAGCCTTTACGCACGACCCTAACCCCTTGCTCTATGACTGATTTCTTAGCTGTGATCGATGCAACTAGTTTATCATTAATAAGGTAAAGACACCAGTAATTGTCTCGGTATCAGTAGTTGACCATTTTCCAAGAAAACGTGGAAAATGAGGTTTTCAAGGGTAATAATTTTTCGATAAATGCACCATAGATATGCTGCAGTATATATCGACTCAACTCCGAAACACTTTTCCCTAAATTAAATTGTTTATCGTAGAAATTGACAATTTATTTCATTTACGTTGGTTGCATGCCTCCAATGTCCAACGTGGAATTAACTTCTTTTCATTCGTATTTGTCCTTTTACTTGTAATTTCTCATAATCGTTGCAAATATACGACATTAAAGTGATCGCCTTTAGTGTTTTTAGTTTTACTATACGTGGCCAACTGATAATTAACGTATGGCCAATTACCAGTTTTCTCGTTTTAAAAGATGGTCAACTTCTGATACAAGTATTGGATTTTCAAACAGCGTTTTCACGCATAGGATCTCTTTATTTTATAAAAGAGCGAGTGTTTACTATTTTTCTTAACTGGTCAACTATTGATGCCTTTACCTTAATTTATTAGTAAAAAACACAATTTTGATGCTTGTTCTATGTCAACGTTTACTTCAAAGGTTA